AGCTGTAAATCATTTAGTTTTCATTTCCCTACTCTTGACTACCTTTATTCGAGCTATTTTAGCTAAGTCATCCTTCGTCAAATCGAAATCTCTACACATTTACGAAATCGATTTCAAACTTACGAGTTTTAATCCACCGCACTAATTCATTCCCCCCCCCCCCCCCCTCCTTAGTGCCGCTCCGATCCTAACAATTGGTATCATAGCAAGGCTCACTCTCATATTTGGTTTAATACCCAAGAGAGATGGCTTACTCTGGCATGCAAGAGGGTCACTATATTATACGTCCGCCTATGTTTAATGGGTCGGATTACACATATTGAAAGACTCATATGAGGATCTTCCTTATTTCCATGGATTTTAAGCTTTAGAATATTATCAAAAATGGATTTTAAAAATCTTCTCTTCCGATGAGCGAATGGGATGAATCAGAGAAGAAGGTTTTTGCTTTAAACGCAAAGGCTATGAATGTCTTATTTTGTGCACTTGACAAAAATGAATTTAATCACGTTTCGATTTGTGATTCGACTTTTGATATTTGGAGAACTCTTGAGGTCACTCATGAAGGCACTAGCCGAGTGAAAGAGTCCAAAATCAACATTTTTGTGCATTCTTATAAACTTTTCCGGATGAAACCAAGTGAGTCCATCGGAGACATGTACACCCGTTTCACGGATGTCATCAATGGACTCAAAGTTCTTGGTAAAGATTTTTCTAACTTTGAACTAATAACTAAAATTTTAAGATCCCTTCCAAAGAGTTGGGATCCAAAAGTTATGGCCATTCAAGAGGCCAAGGACCTTAAAACATTTCCTTTCGAAGAACTTATTGGGTCTCTTATGACCTACGAAATGACGTGTCATGCTCATGAAGAGCTCGAGAACCCCCTTCCAAAGAACAGGAAGGATATGACACTTAGAACACAAGAAGACCATTTGAAAAAAATATTAAGCGATGAGGATAGTGACAATGACATTACACTTTTAACTCAAAAATTTTAAAAATTTATAAGAAAGAACAAATTTAAAAATAACACCAAAAACAAACTTGAACATAAAAAGGACCAAGTAATATGCTACGAATGTAAGAAGCTGGGGCACTTCAAAAATAAATGCCCCCAAACCAAGAAGAAGCAACCGAAGAAGAAGAAAGCTTTAAAAGCAACTTGGGATGACTCCAGTGATTTCGAGAATGAAGAAGCTAGCAACAAAGAGGAGGCAAACTTCGCGCTAATGGCTTTAGGAGGAGATGTATGTGATTTAATTAATAAATATTTATCTTTCGATGAACTTTCTATCGCTTTTCATGGATTATTTGATGAGTGTAGAACTATTAGCAAGAAGTTCAATCTAGTAAAGAAAGAGTATATCTTACTACAATATAAGCTTGATAGTCTTCAAACTCCTCCATGCTCTAAGTGTGAACACTTAGAAGCAATAAAAAATGAGAATTTGCTACTTAAAGAGAAGGTCGGTAGTAAAGGCTTGGACATGATCCTTGCAAACAAGGGTCACGTCGCAAATAGAAGTGGAATTGGTTTTATGAGAGGATCTCACCAAAATCCTACCACCTTCATTAAAGGACCCACATTACATGTTTCACCTCATTTGAAATGTAACTTTTATTGTAAATCCGGACATGTTGTTTACAAATATCTATTTAAGAAAATTAGTCCACATAAGTCGATATGGGTTCCTAAAGGAATTATAAATATTTCAATGATGAGGTAATCGAAACCCCTTTAATTTATTTTGAAATTACTTGATGTTTTTCATTATGTTTTTTTTAGAATAATTATTTTTCTTGAAAATTACATGTTTGAAAAATTAAAAATACAAAAATATGATCATGATCGTAATTTTGAAAATAATAATAAAAATTACATATTTTATGTTAATGGAATAAAATGTTAGATTTAAATCTAATGATCATATGCATATTTTTATTAAGAAGAAAAATGTGTATCTTGATGATTTTCGATTTTAATTGAAACCATGCTTGATGTCTTAATGAAAATATTAAGAAGTTTAATATCATGCTTAATGATGATGCATGGCTTTTGTATGGAAAACTAAGCATGAAAAGATAGATTCACCTAAAAAGAAAAATGCATTACTACAACAAGTAACAAAATGATTTTGGTTGAAAATACCTTATGCTCAATGAAAACATGATTGATGAATATGCTTTATGTTTAATGATTTATTTGCCTTGAATGTCCTATCATGATGAATATTTTGAAAATAAATGAAATCATGTTTGATTTGAAATAATGAATAATGATCATGCTTAATGATTTTTCTTTCAAAATAATGCATAATGATTTTTGTGATTTATGGATTATCGATTTCCATGATAATAAAAGTGGCTTTTTCGGTTTAAAAAATGATGCATGTTTTGATTTGACATAAATAAAATAAGCATGCTTATATGAAATAGTGTAAGTGTCATGCTTGATGATTGTATACTTAATGATGCATAAAGTTGTAATGAAAATATTAAAATTTTGATACCATGATTTGATGATTTTATGCATGAGATTTTAAAGCTATACATGATGATTTTTGTGGTTTATTGATCTTGGTGGTTTTCATGATGAAACTTATTTTTCGATCCTAAACGTTGATGCATGGTTTTAACATAAGAACAAATATTTGAGCACGCTGATATAAAATCAATCACATAAATTGAAAAAACTAAAAAGAGAAAAGTATTTTTCTTAAAAATTCTTTTTCTCTATCTTATTAACTTTAATAAATATATTTGATTGTCTTAAAAGCGATTTTGATGATTTT